TGGCGGCTGTATAAATCGATGCTGCTCCACAGGATACCCACTGAGGCAAGATGAAAGCAGTGGGATAGGTGACTCAGTGTAGTTGCGGTGGGGCTGATGTGGTCCCTTGTGGTTTCTGCTGTGTGCTGTGTTCACTGTCCTTCTGTATATGCGATACCAGTGTGTGTTTGCGGTGTTTTATTTCTGTTGGTGTATGAGCTCAACATGATCTGCATTCCTAGTGCTGGCCCAATCATCATCAAACCCCACGATGATTCTGGTATTGCGTTCTGTGCACTGTTGTTTCTCCTCTTTGTGTTTTTGTTTTGTAGTGTGCGTTGGCCTCTAGTCTGGCTCTGTAGTGTGTGAGTGGTTTACTGTTGCTCCCCTCACTGTGTTGTGTTTGATTGCTGTTGTGATGTGTACTCTCTCTCTCTCTCTCTGTGGTGCTGTGTGCCCTCTGTCTTGTGTGTTAAATGTGCGTCTCTTTTCTCCTCCTCTTCTTCCTTGTTACCACAGACCCAAGCAACCCACAGTGACAATCATGACAACGATGTTCGTCCAACTGCGCCGCGTGGTGTACCTGTTGGTACTTCTGCAGTGCTGTGTGTGTGTGGCTTACGCTGAAGATACGAAGGAATCTGCACAAGATGTTGTTTCAAGGAAGGAAAATAGTTTAAAGGAGGTGGAAGGTATGATGGATGCCACACTCAAAGAAGCACTACAGAATATAAGTGAACTGGATAGTAAATTGAAATTATGGAAAGAGCATGCTGAACTTGCTAAATCTGCTGCTAATGAAGTTACACAAATGCGCCAAGTGATTGAAGCTGCAATAAGGAAGAATAATGATGTCCCTGTTGAGAGTAAAGGTGCTGTTGGTGATAGTTTAACTGAAGAGCTGCTGAAAAGTGCTTCAGAAGCAGTAAAGAATACTCAGGTTGCTGTTAAAAATGCAAGAAGTTCAGCGTCCGCTGCAAAGGAGTTGGGAAAGTCCTGTTATGATGCGTATGACAAATTAAACAGTTTGGTATGGGCTCATAGGGCTGCGTTGACGAGATATACAAGTGCAATTGATGAGGCAGGACTAAACGAACCTAAAATGACAGAAAAAAGGAAGATCGCTGACGAGAGCAAGCAGAAACAGCAAAAAGCACACGATGTCGTACCTAGTGTTATTGATGCCGGTAAAAAGTGTCTGCTATCTGAAAGGGAGACCAATTTACAGGCTGTTCATGCAGAAAGAGCAATGAGAAAGCTTGAAACTGTTATAAATCAGGTCGAAGCTATCATTGGAATAAGTAGTACTTTGACTCCGGAAAAAGTGCCAGGGGCTGACTCGCGTGCAAGTATCACACAGTCAAGTGACAGCAGCAGCAGTCCTGCATTGGTGCACAGTCCCTTATTGCTGCTTCTTGTTCTGATGTGTGTGCTGGGCTGCACTGCGGTGTTCTAATGGAAGCTGCTGGTGGACGTGTGCATGGCGAAGGTGAATCCCTCTATATTCTTTGCGTGTTTGTTTCTCTGCATGGCCCGTGGGTTGATTGATATTGCACTGCAGGGACGCACTGGCAGTTTGATGATTGCTTGACTGGGGTTCATTGAGGTCTATTAGCCTTATAGGCATTTTTTCTTGTTTTTTAATTATTTTTCTTTGCTGGGGTTCTGTGCGCTACCCCTCGCTTATATACTTTTGTTTCCCTTCTGCAGCATTGGTTGTTCCCGTGCACATGTGTGGTGTGCTGCTGTGATGGTGGACTGTTGTGCTGCACCTGCGAGTGTGCGCAGCCATCTGCAAAAGAATTGATATATATATACTCTTCCCCTCTCTTGTGTGTGCTTGTTTTTTTTTTCTTGTAATTCAATTCACTGTGTAATTTTTTTTGTTTTGTCTCCCCTCCCTTCCCTCACTGTAACTATATCCTTTGGAGTTTGACTGCATACTCGTTTGTACCAAATG